ACATGGTGAAACTAAAGATTCTGTTTTTTTGCTTGAAGACTCCTTCTAAGAGCTCCAACCATTCTACTGCTGGGCAAAACTGTCCAAGAATGACCAGCCACCACAAACACAACCACCTCCTCCCACAATCCCTGAACCCATTGTGTGCGATCCTTCATTGCATCTTGACATTGCAAACTTCACTAAGTTTGAAAAATCCTATTTACACCAGCAATCAGATCCAAACATCCAGAATGGGCTGAGAAATGTATTCAGTGTGAACAGAGCATTTGGAACAGCCAGTCAAGGATGTTTGGATGTGTGAGAATACAAAGAAAGCCAATTGTTGTTGTAAGTATGCCTTGTGTAAAACCTGTTGGATGCAGAGACTCCAAAAGGGAGTCATGGGGCAACTAGCACTTGCCTCTCCCGAGAAAAGGCGGTTAAATGAAGAGGGCAGGATTTTGGAGGAAGAGGATGGATTTGCACCTCGTAAAAGTGCTAGAAAGAGGATCAAGCTTTCAGACAAAGAGAATAAAACCTATCAATTCAATACTTGAGTGGTTCCTGGCCGAGGTTCCATGGTTCCCATGAAAAAGAATGTCATGAAAGATTGTGGGAGGATTGGCTTCCACTGTACCAACCAGAAAAAAGAGGAGAATGAATCCATTGCATTACCATATTGGAATCCTTTGTGGCAGAGGTTGGCTGCTGCTGTAGTGAAAAAGAATGTCTTGTGTGAAGTTGTTGCTTCCACTGCGGCGAAAGCTGCTGTCACCATCGTTAACTTTTATTGTAGTCCATCAAAATGGATTTGTTGATTTGGTCACAGTTTTAGTCACTAATCTAGTCACTAACAGGATTCAAAGTTAATCCATTTAGTCAACTCGAGGCGCGCATACCTGGCTTGTGAACCGGTGGTTCAGAGGCCTGGCCAACTCTCTCTGGTTTGGACGCACACTTAACCTAGTCATTGTTACGTCATGCATGACTTCAATCTAGCATGACGTCAGTAAGTCACCGTGACATCATCATGTCTGAATCAGGTATTGACAATCAGTTATGCATGCATGCCTGCGTGCATGGTCTGATCGGCGATGGGCTGCCATGCATGCGCAGCAGCTATATAGGACGTCAGGAATTATCCCTAATTTAGCACTTAAGTAAAATGGTCAGGTTCTTGTTCATATTTGTGTAAAAATGTTGTCTATTCGTCGTTTTGTTAAGGAAGTGTTAAGATGCCACTGAGTCTTGAATGACTGGGGCAACGACTTGATATAAACAATGTGTCAAGTAGGTGTTCTAATTATTGTCTAAGTTGGGACGACATTATTGTTGTTAAGAATTGGTGGTTAAACTTTTGGTAACTTCTTGTTAATTGTGTGATACTCTAAGCTGGAATGACCCACCCAAAGTCAATATTGGTGTTAGAATGTCTACTTTGGAGAGTGATAGTAGATGATAAGGAAAGGGAGATCTTGTTAAGGCTACGTTAAGAATGCCTTTACTAACCACCGATTAACAAATTTTCGCACCTTAGTGCAGCAAGCACACGATCACCAAAACACCGTCGGGAGCATCCAACAGCCGAATGATACAGTACAATCGATTGAAACATTCGATTCGTCTTATTATCTGAAGCATCAAAGCGATGCTACTAGTATAGCCTTTTATTCTTCAAGTGGAGCTTTTTTTATCCGGACCGTAGCTAAGAATGAGGAACCAATGAATTTTGCCGAGCGAGTTGCTTGCTTGAAATTAAATCCTCCGTTTGTTGTGTGTGGCGATGATGACGAGGATGCGCTCTACCAGGTACTGTAGCGGACACCAGAGGAGCAGCCATCCATTGGACAGCAACACCACCACCACCACCGTTTGGATAGTTCCCATCTCAACCAGAATTGGTTTAGCGGCTCGGCTTTTTAGACTCGAGTCTCGACGCTTATTACCAATCCTACGGAATGCTGACGTGCACGGTATGGCAGAACACTCGCGGCTCTTTGCGTCCGTTTCATTATTATACCGGTCGGTACGTTGTTTGAGACAACCTTACACAATCCATAGCATGGATGCCAGTCAATTATTTTTGCAAATCACACCAGGGCAACGTCGAGTCGAAAAAGACCTTGGTCCTCGTTCACAAGCCCGCGTATTGATGATGGATACTTCGATATCAGCCATCATCAACGGGATTATTGCAATGGACGCACGGGGCGAAAGAAGTGATGACACTGCTCGGCAAAAAGACGGTCCGGGAAGCTTGCCCCATTCTGACCGCTTCGTTCGGAGAAATCCACGATACGATCCTGATCGATCGATCGATCGATCGTATGGAGCTCTCGGTATTGCATCATCACGCTGACACAAACCGCCTTGACCTTTGCCGGTTCCTTCAAGAAACCCTTGCGAGCACCGGTACCCTAATATTGCACTCAAAGATGGTTGGTAGGGTTGATTCTATCTAGACTTTATTGGTCTGGCAAGGTTTGGTCCTTGGCATGGGCTGCATATTCGGCTTGCCATCCTATTGGAATTGAATTGGAGGGACAACAGCAACAACAGCACAATGCCATCTGTCCAGAATTGCTAGCTACAATGTAACCAGCTACTATTTTTCGAACCTTTTCCTTGGACTGACAAGGATAACCAAACAAACACGTAATAAGTAAAAAACTACTTTACAGTATGCTACCAGTACAGGAACTTTAGCCGTTCCTCTGAGAGAGAAAGTCTTGAACCCAACCTTTCACCCGCTCATCACATACATCCAACAATTCATTTTCATTCCACGGGCAGCCATTTTCCATGGCATATTTCAGCACTTCCAAATGCCCTCTCTCAGCAGCATCCATGCATATGTGCTCATCCCAAGGACAGCCATTTTCATGGGCATACTTCAAGATTTCCAAATGACCTTGTGCAGCTGCAATTTGGCAGGTCTCTTCGTTCCACGGACAGCCATGTTCATGGGCATACCTCAATATTTCCAAATGGCCTTCTGCAGCAGCTTCAATACAGGTTAGACCATCCCATTGACAGCCATTGTCATGAGCATACTTCAGTGTTTCCAAATGGCCTTGTGCAGCTGCAATTTGGCAGGTCGCTTCGTTCCACGGACAGCCATGTTCATGGGCATATCTCAGGATTTTCAAATGGCCCTTCGCCGCAGCTTGGCTACATGTGCCTGCGTTCCAAGGACACCCATTTTCATGGGCATAGCTCAGAATTTCCAAATGGCCACTTTCGGCTGCACTGCGGGTTGTGCTAGCATCCCAAGGACATCCATTTTCATGGGCATACTTTAGGATTCCCAAATGGCCATTCTTTGCAGCAAGCCGGCATGCCTCTGCATTCCATGTGCAACCATTTTCATGGGCATACTTCAAGACTTCCAAATGGCCATTCTCAGCAGCTTCGGAGTGCAATACACGGCTCTTAGCCTTATTCGCGACTCGATCCTAGATAGGGTTTGAGTTCGACTCATAGAGGAAGAGAGAACTAAATAGTGCATCCAATGTAGCAAAACTAGCGAAAGTTCTTAGTCGACGTGCATATCCAGCTTGCACTTGCACCAGTAGTACATTATTAGACTAGTACATAAAGGTACTTATGAAAACTAATCAACAACACAAGAGCATTGATTCCACAGCAACTTATTAGTGAGCGCAGTCGTAGACCTCGGGAACTCCCTCCGAACGAGCGCTCACAGGGACGTGAGATAATTTAGTCGGATCCTGCTAGCGTTCTGGCACCGAATAAGGCCCAAACACTAACTACACACACACAACTGTTATCACAAAAATACGGATAATCGCGGAGGCGACAATATCGCTCTAGACATATTATACGTTACAGAGCTAAGCAACCGCGAGGAGCGCGCGAGATGCTCCTCCACCGTCGAGCGCCTCTAAAATATCTACGGTCGATGTTCAACCAATCGACCTAGTAATGACATAGCGGTCTTCCCCATGAAGACACCCGTCCTCAAGACTATCCACAGAAAGACAGTTCAGTCATGGA